ATTATTCAGTGATGAGGCAGGGATTTGGGCAGAGTTTGTACTCATGTTCTGGATTTCAGTCCTTCTGTATCTCTCATCCCCGAAATTTTCCCTTTAACTTTTCAGTTACTCTGATTTTACCTCTATTAATCTGTACTCTTTTTTTTTTTTTTTTGAGTTGGAGTGTCACTGTCGCCCAGACTGGAGTTCAGTGGCCACTCCTGGCCACCGCAGCCTCAACCTGCTGGGCTCCGGCGATCCTTCCGCCTCAGCCTTCCAAGTAGCTGGAACTACAGGCGCGTGCTACCACGCCCGGCTAATTTTTTTGATTTATTGTAGAGATGAGGTCTCGCCTGCCCGGGCGGGTCTCAAACCCGTGGCCTCAGGCAATCCGCTCACCTCAGCCTCCCAAAGGCGCGGGATTACAGGCTGAGCCACCGAGCCTGGCTGAATCTGTACTCTTGAGTGGGTGCTATAGGGTGGTGGTGACTGAGGAGCACTCCCAGGCAAGAAAGCCATAAACTTGCAGCAGTTACCTGAAGCCCTTCTCAAATTTCCATCGGCGTCTGTTCATTTTCCAGTGACCTGAAATATTTATTTTTACTATTTATTTCCAGTTTTTATGATTTTTTTCTGTAGACGGAATTGCTTAAACTCTTTTCACTGCCATTCCTAGAAGTTTCTTCTACTATGGTTTGAGAGCCAACTACTATAGCTGGTGCTGTAATTTCACTGGTGAATGCATTTTTCTCCCTTATCCCACAAAATTTCAAACAGACACCCTAGAAAAACCTAACTCAAGTAGAAGTTAAGATTTTTTTCCTCCACTATTCTAAATGAGAAGACATGTGTGCCTCTTTCCTCTACCCATCTTCAACCACCAACTTTTTTATATGTGACAGATGTTATTTTTTTTGTATGTCATCTCACTATGGCCCTCTACTGTTAAGTTGAAAGATGATTTTCTGGTCATCATTCCTCTTCAACTATGAGTGCTTGCAAAAACTTTTTCTCTATATTGTGGTAAATGGCAAGGGTATTGTATGAATTCCAAGGGCCCTGGTGTTGCTATGTTAGTTGGCATCTGCCCTGTTAGCTGCACTGGGTGAAGGACCATGCTAATCACTTGGAAGGCTGATTCTTCTGAGAGTCACTCAAATTAATAAACCTACTATAGGGCCACAAACCATTCCTGATCCTGACTAGACAAGGGCTATAGGGATACCTGGGCTGTATGTATATAGATCAGAGCCAATTCCTAACCATAACTGGTATGAAATGGTTTAAAAGTATACAACCATACTCAAAATGAATTTTTTTGAGTTGGAGTCTCACTCCGTCACCCAGGCTGGAGTGCAGTGGCAGTGGCATGCTCTCATGGCCACCCCAGCATTGAGCTGCTGGGCTCTGGTGATCCTTCCACCTCAGTCTTCCAAGTAGCTGGAACTACAGGCACAGACTACCATGCCTGGCTAATTTTCTTAGTTATTGTAGAGACAAGGTTTCACCATGTTGCCCAGGCTGGTCTCGAACTCGCGGGCTCAGACAATCTTCTCACCTCGGCCTCCCAAAGTGCTGGGATTACAGGCTTGAGACACTCTGCCCAGCAGAGTCATGAATTGTATATATTTTGTATATAAATATTAAGATTTCTCTCTTTATATGAATAAAGGAAATATGGCAAAAGAGAAAATAGCCTTGGGAACAAAAATAGTATTGTTCACATATAAGTATCTTTCACTTATGAATAATCTTACTCTTATTATTATACTCTTAAAAATCTGTATTTATATATAGTAATGTAATAAACTGAATGAATGTAAATAAAATATATGTAAACAAAATAAATATATACATGTGTGTGTTTAGCTTCAATACTCCCAGTAAAGACATACAGAGATGGAGAGAAATAATTGGTTGGTGAATCTGAGTCTTCTTTTTTATTCTTTTTATTTAGAGACAGGGTCTCACTCACCCAAACTGGTCTTGAACTCCTGGCCTCAAGCAATCTTCCTGCCTCAGCCTCCCAAATAGGATTATAGGGATGTGTCCGGAACCTTTTTTAAAAAAATTATTATTCTAATGACTAATGTTATTTCTTACATTAAGGATTCTTTGACTTGACTATGGGTCTTACAATAGAAAAAGTGTTGAAAGAGAAAATATGAAATATGAAAATATTGTGCAATTCGAAACCTCTGTTACCATTTTATATATGGGCAATAATAACTAATAAAATAGTAGATTAATAACTTCTAAGGTAGGAAATTATTATCTTGTTCATCATTCTATCAGCATCTAGTACAGCACCTAGCATATACTAGATTTTCTAAAATTATTAAGTGAGTGAATATATACATGAATAAATGAAGGTGAAGCATGAAAACCAAATGACTGTCCTGAAGAGATTATTAATAAATTCAGTAGTTGTCCTTAGTAGTTGGTTCACTGTTCTAAGTGCTCTGTAAGTCTTAACTCATTATTATTCTCTACTTTACAGATGAGGAAACCAAGGAACAAAGACATAAAGTAACTATTTCAAGGTTATATTGTAAGTTGTAGACCAAAGATGCAAATTCAGACAATCTGATTTCAGAGACTATGCTATTATCTACAGTGATATAAACTGCTATGAATGCCATTTCAAAAACATACATTTTGCAAGTTAACTTAAACAACAACAACAACGAGGAGATAAAAAGGATTTTAAGTAGTTGAAAAAAGGAAGTTGAAAAGATGTAAACCAGACATAAAAATTTTTGTAAAAATGCAGGATAACAGCCTTTTAAAACATCTACTCTTCAAATATAGAAGTTATCTACCAATCCATAAATATGGGCTATCTTTCCATTCATTTGTTTCTTCAATGTCTTTCATTACTGTTTTATAGTTTTCAGTATACAGATCTTTCAACTACTTGATTAAATTTATTCCTAAGTATTTTTTTTGTAGCTATTGTAAATGGGATTGTTCTCTTGATTTCACTTTTGAAATGTTTGCTAAACATTTTATTAAACTGTCCATACTACCCAAAGCAATCTATATATTTAGTTCAATTCCTATTAAAATTCCAATGTCACTTTTCAGAGAAAAAAGAATTCTACAATTCATATGGAACTGAAAACCCCAAATAGCCAAGGCAATCATGAACAAAAAAGAACAAAGCTAGAGGCCTCACACTATCTTTTTTCAAATTACTATAATACAAAGCAATAGTAATTAAAACAGCATGGTGTTGGCATAAAAATAGACTCATTGACAAATGGAATGGAATAAATCAATACATGTACAGTCAATTGATTTTTGACAAGGGTGCTAAGAATACACATTGGCAAAAGGACAGTTTCCTCAATAAATAGCTTTGGGAAAATTGGATATCCATATGCAGAAAAATGAAATTGGACCCTTATCTCACTCCATATATAGAAATAAACTCACAAGTGATTAAAGATTTAAACATAAGCCCTGAAACTGTAAAACTACTAGAAGAAAACACAGGAAAAACTACATAACATTGGCCTAGTTAACAACTTTTTAGATTTGACCCTAAAAGTACAGGCAATGAAATAAAAACATTGACAAAGGAGACTGCATCAAAATAAAAAGCTTCTGTACAGCAAATAAAACAATTAACAGAGTGAAAAGACAACCTATGGACTGGGAGAAAATATTTGCAAACCATATGCTTGATAAGGGGTTAATATCCAAAATATATAAGGAACTCAAACAATTCTATAAAAAGAAAACAATCTGTTTTAAAAATGGGCAAGAAATTGAATAGACACTGTCAAAAGAAGACATATAAATGGCCAACAGGTATATTTAAAAATGCTCACCATCACTAACCATTAATGCAAGTTAACCATTTAATGCAAGTTAAAACCACAATGAATGATAACCTCATACCTGTCACAATGGCTATTACCAAAAAGATGACAGATAACAAGTACTGGTGAAGATGTAGAGAAAAAGGAACCCTATTACACTGCTGGTGGAAATGCAAATTAGTGCAATCACTATGGAAAACAGTGTGGAGGTTCCTCAAAAACTAAAAATAGAATTGCCATATGAACCAGCAATCCCACGTCTGGATAGTTATCCAAAAGATCTGAAATCATTATGTCAAAGAGACATCTATACTCCTATGTTCACTACAGCATTATTCACAACAGCCAAGTTATAGAATCAATCTCCATGTTCATCAACAGATGAATGGATAGAGAAAATGTGTGTGTGTGTGTGTGTGTGTGTGTGTGTGTGTGTGTGTGTGTGTATGGTGAGAGAGAGAGAGAGAGAGAGAGAGAGAGAGAATAGAATACTAGTCAGTCTTAAAAAAGAAAGGAATTTTGTCATTTGTAACAACATTGATGAAACTGCAGAACACTATGCTAACTGAAAAAATCCAGGCACTGAAAGACAAGTATCATATGTTCTCACTTAGATGTGGAATTGAAAAAATCAAACTCAACAGAAGCAGAGGGTAGAATGGTAATTACCAGAGGCTAGGAGGGTGGGAAGAATGTGGAGATAATGGTCAAAGTATAAAAAGCCTGAATTAGACAGGAGGAATAAGTTTATTTTTCCTTTCAGATATACTGCACAGTGTGATATAAAAAACAATAACATATCGTACATTTCAAAATCTTCTCATTACAAAAAAGATAAATATTTGAAGTGATAGATGTGTTAATTAGATAGATTTAATTATTCCACATTGTATGTATAGATCATAACATAATTTTGTATCCATAAATATATAACTATAATTTGTCAGTTTACAATTTAAAAAATTAAAATTGAACAAACAAAGTTAGTCTGACAATTTATCTAAGAAGAAGTATCTGAATTCAGGAAATAAGGTTGAATTTGAGAATCTGCTTTCACATAAGACTAAACACTAACTCTTTGATGGTACTTTATCTTATAATAAAAATGATCCCTGCCAGCACCAACTCATAGTCACATTTTCTTGTTGAGAAACTGTAACAAAGTACAAATGTTTTAACGTGCTGATATCTTACCTTTTCTTTTTACTTATGATCATATCCATTGTTTGGAGCAGTCGCCGTTCCAGGGCTAGAATATCAGTGTCAGTCACATTCCTACAATAAGCACAAACTGTTAGCAAAACATTTTTGGGTCTCACCCTTGGGCATAATACAAGGCATCTGGAGAAACACATAAACCCCAATTGTTATCACATAATTCAGGGAACTGCCTTTTTCTAAAAAATATTAAAATGACTAATAAACTAAAATGCTTTTGTTGTCACTTCTTAGTTAATTCTGCAGTCTCAAGACAATGGAAGATACCTAGCTCTTTTACCATATTTCTTAGCTTTGATCTGGTGACATTAGGATATGTTTAAGCACACTTTAAAATTGGCATTGTCTTCTACTTTTCTACTTCTAGGAGTAACTGATTTATTGAAGCTGTGGTTAGTTCACACTGTTGACCACTAGAAATGTGCCTTTAAAAAATGGGAGGGGTTCCATGTTTTTGCTATTGTGAATAGTGTTGCAAGAAACATTCATGCATAGGTATCTTTTTTTGTAGAATGATTTGAGTTCCTCTAGGTATATTTCCAGAAAGGGGATTGCTGGGTTGTATGGAAGGTTGATTTTTATATCTTTTAGAAATCACCACACTGTTTTCCACAGAGGTTATACTAGAAGGTTGTTACACTCCCACCAACAGCATTTGTTATTTTTTGAGTAATTAATGATGGAACCCCACATCTTCAAAATTAAAAATTTTTTTTTAAAATGGGAAGGGGTTGTCAGATTGGACTTCAACATTTAAAAAATAAATGAATGTAGGACAAATAATAAGGGCAGTAAATATAAGTGATAAAATTCATTTAGAAAGATTCCCAGGTCAGCTGGGCTCAGTGGCTCAGCCTATAATTCCAGCACTTTGGGAGGCCGAAGTGAGTGGATTGCCTGAGCCAGAGGGTTCAAGACCAGCCTGGGCAACTTGGTGAGACCTCATGTCTATGATAAAATAAAAATAGCTGGGCATGGCAGCACGTGTCTAGTTCTGGCTACTCAGAAGCCTGAGGCAGAAGGATTGCTGGAGCCCAGAAGGTTGACGCTAGAGTGGCTGTGAGCGTGCGTGCCACTGCACTCCAGCCTGGGTGAAGGAGTGAGACTCCAACTCAACAAACAAACAAACAAAAAAAGATTCCCAGGTCAATGCCCATAGAGACAGAGGAAGAGAAGAATAAAAGGCAGTATCATAAATCTAATATATAAATATTAAAGTTGGTGGCATAATGTGACATATACATTTGAGAAGTAATGGAAAAAAAATAAAAAGAAACAAAGTGCTCTTTACCTGAGGAAGTAGGACATGTAGGTGTATGGGCAGTTGACAGCACCAAATCCAGAAAGGAGGGCCATGAGAGTCACACCAATCACACCGACCCGACTGATGAGCTGTTCTATGGATAAGATTCCTAAAAACATCAAAACACATTAATGCCAAGTAATACAGACAAAGCAGCTCTCATCTGAACCACAAAGAAAACATCACTGAAAAATCAACTATTACCTATAACTAGCTCATACAAGTCACTTTTAATTATTAATGTGTAGATTTTCTATTATAAGTATATTAAAAGTCTATTGATTTTCCTCTTATCACATGTGCTTCAGATTCATCTCTTTTACTGGGTGATGACAATAGTAAAATAATAATAACAATAATTGTAAATAACACTTATTGACTGTTTACTCTTGGCGGTGTGAATTCTAACAAAGCAAGGTATTTTTAATAAATGCTTTGGCAAAAAAAAAAAATTAGGAGAATAAACCTGCTGGAAAAGTATAAAGAAGAAGAAATTAATACTTTGTGCTAGTTACCCTTGATCTATGCATTTTCCCCTACGGTCATACTCTTTAGCCTATGTCTTATTGCTTTTTGCAACCAATGAACACAGAATGCACCTAATAAATGGGCTAAACTTATAGATGAATGAGTAATTCAAAGGCAAACACATGAATTTTAGATTATAAGTTGTAACCTAATTATCAATTGTTTCCTATTATTTGAGAATATTCCAGATCAACTCAGCAGTTAAAAGAAATACTTCTGGTAAATGTTTTTGGGTTACAGGAGACAAAGTAATGTTGAAGAATAACTCAGAAAGTTTGGTGTCACAGGAAAAAAGTTTTAATTTGCTTTCACTTCCTATTTCTAGGACAGACTTCACTTCAGTCTTCACTCCTATAACCAAATGCCAGAGCTATAAGTCAGGAATTGTCAGCTTTGAAACTGCTGAAACAGAGACACAGAAAGATTAAATAACTCAGTCAAAGCTACACAGCTAAAAAAATCCAATATTCAGTTTCTGACCACTGGCTTCCCCTCCTAGTCTTTAAGTCCTCTTGCCCCTTTATTTCTACTACTGGCTTTAGACTTCTGGCCTCTTGTCTTTTGCTTCTCCCTTCTTCATATAGCTTGGACTCTATGTTTGCTGGCTTCAACTTCTCTCAATCCCCTATTCTCCTCCTTCAGAAGCACTGATCCCACAGACCTCCAACCCTGGATCAATGCATCCCTCTGCCTCCCTGTGCCCATGCCTAGCTGCCTAAAATTGCTAGCCTTCATATTGGTGTCACTAGATTTATGGTCTCCAGTCTTAACAGAGCACACACTACTGAGTAATCCTTATATTGCCCTTGGCAAGCCACCTCCATTTCCCTCAGCAGCTTTTTAATCCATTTTTCCCACCTTTGTCTGCCTCCATAATGTCCTTATTGTAAAAGACATAAGCTATTTTACATAAACCACCTTCAGTCTACTATAAATATTTACATTTGCAATCATCCTCCCAACTTGTCTCCCTCAGAACAAGAGTGTCCAAAGCTTACTTCTCTACTTGTGCTTTTGAGCTTCACTTTTCAGTGGCCCTGGGAATTATCTCATCCTCATATTTGAGTTTTGAAATACTGCTGATCATAATCTTGGCGTTATATATTTGTTTTGGTTTTCTGTGATTGGGAGTGAAGCTAGCTTGCTTGTGTGCCACAATCTTGGAATTGGAAATCATCATACTTTTGATCTTATTCAATCCTTTCCACCCCTTTTAGAATCTTGTTCCATTACCTGTCTCCTCCTCTTGTATCTTCAACCTTTCCTTGTTACTTCTTTCTCTTCAGTTTCAAGTCCTCTTTTCTAAGAAAAATTCTGTCCTTGGTCTTGAGTTTACCTCTAGCTACCAATCCCTGTCAATTTCCTCCTAAATAGCCAAGATTTTTTTTTTTTAGATTGAGAAAAATCGTTTATTTAAAAAGTAGATTAAAGAGAGAGGGTGAATTGACTTCTCAAGGGAGAGAAGGGGACCAGATGCCCAAAGAAAACATGGCAGCCATAGCCAAGCTTCTTAAAAGATGTTTATACTTAGTCACCTCTTCCTTACCTCCAGTTTACTCCTCAACTAGCTGTAATCTAGCTTTCTTCTCATTGTTCTATTGAATGAAATTGCTTTCACTAATAGTTGTAATGGTAACATAATAGGTAACATTCATCAAGAACCTCTTATGTACTAGGCATTGTTCTAAGCATTTTACATGTCCTAACTCCTCACAACCACCCTATGAGATTTTTTTTTTTTGGTGGAGATGAGGTCTTGCTATGTTGCCTGGGCTGGTCTCAGACTCCAGGACTCAAGCAATCCCTTCGCCTTGGTCTCTCAAAGTGCTGGGATTATAGGCGTGAGCCATTGTATCTAGCCGAGACAGATAGTATTATTGAAAACCTGATTTTATAGATGAAGAAACGGAGGCACAGAGAAGTTAAATAATTTAGTCAAGGCCAGAAAGCTAATAAGTGACAGAGTCAGGATTCAAGCCCAGTCTAGCTCCAGAGTCTGGGCTCTTAGCCATTACCACACTATGGTCATGAATTTTTCTCTTGGTTGCAAAATTCAACATTTTTCAATCCTTGCTTTATTGACTCTTTTATGATGCTAAATCCTTTCTATTTAAAATTATTTTCCCTTCTTAGCTTCCACAACACCATTTCCCTAGGTTTTCCCTTTTACTTCTTGCTCTCTCTTTTTTTTTTTTTAATTGAGGTCTCACTTCGTTTCCCAGGCTGGAGTGCAGTGGCATGATCATGGCTCTCCGCAGTCTCAAATTCCTGGGCTCAGGCAATCCTTCTGTCTCAGCCTACTGAGTAGCTGAGACTACAGGCATGTGCCACCATGCCCAGCTAATTTTTTGATTTTGTGTAGAGACAAAGTCTTACTATGTTGCCAAGGCAAGTCTCATACTTGCTCAAGTAATCCTGCCTGCCTTGGTTTCCCAAAGAGCGAGGATTATAGGCATGAGCCACCACGCCTGGCCCTTTTAAGTTTCTTAGTTTACATTACTCTTTCCCACTATGGAATGTCTTCCAACCTTCTGAGGTTCCGGCACTGCACAAGAAGTACTTCCACAGACATTTTTTTTTTTCCATTATAGGTTAGAATTGAGGCTTATAGTTTTTTGTGATAGCCACAGCAATAAACCATACTGATTGTTGACATAGTCCTGGGAAAGCTCTAAGAAGGTAGCGTAAGTCTGGCTGCTTCTCAGCTAATGCCTAAACTTTTCTTCTCACTCACTTCTCTTAGAGGGTTAAATAAATTAAGCCACCCAAACATTCAGACAGAAACCTGAAATGTCTATTGCAGTTCAAAGGAAAGAATAAAACTGAAACTACCTCCCTGGCTATCTTTCTCAGTGTCCTTTTCATGATGATCCCACAGAATTTAGAAAAAGGGGTGGATGAAAGGTACAATAGATATGACAGCCTTCATCTTTCCTCTGGCACAGCCTGGCTGTACTGGTCATGTGAGCTGAGTACACATGGGAGAAAGCTGGAGAAACATGTCAGAGTCAGGTCTTTGGACTACATGTGAGCTTGTGCTTGCATTGTCAGCAGCCCTGGGGGCCTTTTGTAACGTTTCTCCCTGTTTGCCTCTCTCTGGGCTTGTTTGAAATAGGTTTGTAAGAGAGCTATACTCTCAGGGCTCTCTACTCTAAATCTTTCCCTATACTGATGTGGGCATGGTGATCATATTAGCAATTCCCACATCCTAACTAAAGTGTTAAATTCTTAAATTCATCTGCCACTTCAAAGAGGCTTTTTTTTTTTTCCATTTACTGATTCAAAAAACATATATTAAATACTTGTTATGTGTTAGGTTCCACAGTAAGCACTAGAGATACAAAGACAAATAGGGTGTAGCTTCTGACCTCAGAGAATACAAAGGTTAATAAAGAGTCATAAAAGGAAACATGTAATTACAAGTTTTACAGGTGACATAAATACATTGAGGTAGGAACAATTAATATCTCCTAATGATGGTCAAGAAAATCTTCTTAGAAGAATTGATAAGAGTTGAATCTCAAAATAATAAATAGGCATTTCCCAGGTAGACAAGGGGGGAAGGATTGTCCAGGCTGATAGAATACCTCTGGAAACTTCAAGTAATTTGGTAGAACTAGAGAACAGAATACACAGAGAAAGAGAGCTGTGTAACCAGGTCATGGAAGGTCTTATATACCAGACTAAAAGTTTGAATATTTGTGGTAGGCTAGTATTATCTTTAACTTGTTTGGACTTTAATGTCACTTGAAACTTTGAAGTATCTATTTTTATTTTAAAAATATATAGTTATTTATGATGCTGCATATTTTTTTTTCTTTTTTAACTGCACATTTCCTCTGACCCTACCACAGGAGAGTCTCCTAACCTCTCTCTCTGCAAATCCCTGCTATTGGCAGTGAGTATACATGGAAAGATGTGTGGGAGGTATGGCAGATTCTAAACACTGGCTCATTCACAACATTGATTCTAATCCTTTTCTAGCATTTCTTTCGGTATTACAGAGGCTAGAAAGCCAAAAGCTCTTCCTCAGACTTCCTTGAAGCTAAAGTTCTGAATGTTACCTAGGTTTCATCAAAAATCCAGGCCCATGTGAAGCCTCATATGCAGAAATGAACAATGTAGGAGTAGTGACAATACTTAGGATCTTGAGCAGCTGGGACAGAGTTTCTACTGTTGGCTTCTTGATGTCACAGGTACTGAGAGGTAGGTGATGATTTCAGTGGGGATTTCCTAGTTTAGTACTGTGGCTTAGTTGGGTGTCTCTTTTCACTACGTAGCATTTAAGCTTGGTGTCCTTGCTTTCCTAGAAAGTCTATAAATTGTTTGATACCCGGAAACCAATCACTTTCTGCTTTAAATCAGTTATAGTAGATTCTGCTTTCTGCAATAAGAACCCCAACAGATACAGCAGTCTAGTGAATGAATAGATGTATATATATGTTTTAAAGGTCTAGTATGAAAGCGCTAGTATAGTCACTACAGGTGGGCTATCTAATCTTTTTGGATCGATTCATATATATTTCTAAAATAGTTCTGGAAGGACTTGTTAACTGAGGGATTTTTATTTTTGCTCATTGTTCTTAGTTTAGAAATTAGGGCTCCATCCAATTTCTTGTTTTAAAATGAACTTTTTGTGTGTGTGAGAGGAGACACATTGATTCTTGGAAAGTTTTTCTTTATCTACTAATTATAAATGTTTTATGTCACCTCTCTTTCCCAAAATACATACACTCCCCAAAAGACAATCTTTAACATTACCTGAACAGTGGCCATTTACCTTCTGGGTCACAGATACCCTTGGAAATTGGATAAAATCTTACCTCCAAATACACATATAAATATACTCCCATAATGCAATATCAGGAGATTTAAGTTAAAGACAACTTTCTCTTTTCCTTATACCCTTGAAGTAAGTATATTCACTAAACCAAGGTCAAAAGATCCTCTAGAATGACAGAAGTCTATTCCAAAACCAGTATTTGATACTTCTTAGGATGAAGGAGAATATTTGGTTCAAAATCAGAAATTTTTTAGAGAAATAACTTGCTATTCTTTCCAAAATCAGAAATTAAAAAAAAAATTTTTTTTTTCAAAATTAAGAAACCTCCTCCTCTATTCCCTCCCACCCCTCACTCCCATATACACTCACCATGTTTTGGGCTGAGAATGGGAAATGGATCTCCTAATTTCCAGAAGAAATACATAAAGGTCAACCATAAGAGACAGGAAAAAAGCAGTCGTTGTTTATGCACTAAGATAGAGGAGACATGACTGTTAGGGAAAACAGATACATTTTCTTGCTCTACTTAAAAATGAGATTATGCTAATTAATACTTGGGTGCTTGTTCACTTGGCAAATGAGTGATGGAATGATATAATTTTAAGTGAAAGCATCCTCACAGCCATAAGAGAAGTTTAGCTGAAATTAAGAAGTGGGTTGAGTTAAAGGAGATCTTATGATAAGTAGAAACAGAAATAAAGCTATTTACAGGACAAATAACCTAATCATTCATTCAATATTTATTTTGTGCAACATTTTAAAGATGCTGTGTGCGAGGTGTCCCCAAACAGCAGTAGCCATTGAAAGTTAATGTAGAAATGAAGCTGTTCACAACCTCAGTCCCCAAAAATAGTCATGTCAATCTATGTGCTGACATGAGAGGATGAAATACTTACATAGTCGGATGTTGCTCACTATAAAGTAGCCAATGTAAAAAGGCACCATGAAAACCAGAATCAGCAGAATTACACACAGGTTAATTTTCCAGTGAAAATAACGGGAGCTGAAATAAATGTCAAAGACTATCATTGGGAGGGAGGGAGGGCAGTAACTTTCATTCTCTTTAGTCTTCCAAAGAATCTCTTGCCCTTTGAACTCAATACTGAATATATCTCATCTAATTAGTCTACTAGGCTGTTACAATCTACTCATCTGTAGACTTTTAAACATATAAAATTTTGAAAGGCATATATGACCATCTTACTCTCCTAAGAATTTCATTTATTAAAATAAGAATGTTAATACTTTAGATATATTCACAGGCAATGTACACCATAACATACATCAACATACACCAATACTTGTAGGATGACTATTGTTTCACTTGCCACTATTTCAATATAAGAATTAAAGGAGGCCGGGCTCAGTGGCTCAGTCTATCATTCCAGCACTTTGAGGGGCTGAGGCAAGTGGATTGCCTGAGTCAGCAGGTTCGAGATTACCCTGGAAACTTGGTGAGATCTCGTCTCTATAATAAATAAAAAATTAGCTGGGCATGAGAGCACATGCCTGTAGTTCTGGCTACTTGGAAGGCTGAGGCAGAAGGATTGCAGGAGCCCAGCAGGTCAACGCTGGGGTGGCCGTGAGTGTGCCACCGCTCTCCAGCTTGGGTGACGGGAGTGAGACTTCAACTCAAAAAAAAATAAATAAATAAAAGAATTAAAGAAAAAATAAATGTTAAACTAATATATACTACAAAGTCTCACAAATTCTTTTTCTGTATCATTTGACTTTATGAAATGTATTTTATTTATTTAAAATGTTTGTTCTGTTTTATAATAGTTTTAATGAGATATAATTAACAAAATCATGTCCATTAGCATTCACTCCCCATTTCACCCCATCCTCCCCAACCCTAGGAAACCACCAATATACTTTGTTTCTATAAATTTGCCTATTCTGGATATTTTGTTTAAGTGAAATCACATAATATGAGATCTTTTGTGACTGTCTTCTTTTACTTAACATAATGTTTGCAAGGTTCATCCATGTTGTAGTAGTGAGCTATAATTCCTTCTATGGGTGAACAATATTCATCTTGTTATATGGATATACTACATTTTGTGTATCCATTCATTAGTTGAAGACATTTGGGTTGTTTCACTTTTTTAAGAGCTATTATAAATAGAGATGCTATGACTATTTCTAAGTTTTGATGTGAACATATGTTTTTATTTATATTTAGGTAGAAATGGAGTGGAACTGCTGGGCCATATAGTAAATCTGTATTTACTCTTTGGAGGCACTTCCACCGTTTACCATTTTACATTTTCCCCAGCCTCACCAACACTTGTTATCATCTATCTCTTCGGTTATAGCCATCCTAGTGGGTGTGAAGTGGCATCTCATTGTGTTTTTTTTTTAACTTTTTTATTTTAAAGATGTGGGGTACAATTCAGGGTTAGGTATACAAATGTTCATTATGCAGGTACTCTTGTTGATGAGGTGTGTCCCCCCTGCCCTGCAGATTCCCAGTACTGCCAATCCTGTCTCTCCCCACCCCTGGGTAGTTTTTCACTACTGCCAATCCTTTTCTTATAGTAGTATGATAACTGTTCAAGGTTCACTTATGAATGAGAACATGTGATACTCAGTTCTTTGTTTCTGTGATAGATCGCTCAGTATTATAGACTCTAAGTCCATCCAGGTTGCTGTAAAGTTCATGACTTTGCCCTTCTTTATGGCTGCATAATATTACATCATGTATATGTACCACATTTTAAAAATCTAGTCCTCTTTTGATGGGCAGCACGGTTGGTTCCATGTTCTTGCTATTGTGAACAATGCTGCAATAAACATGCGTGTGCAGGTATCTTTCTCATAGAGTGATTTGAGTTCTTTTGGGTATATTCCCTATAGGGGGATTAGGGGGTCGTATGGAAGGTCGATTTTTAGATATTTGAGGAATCACCACACTGCTTTACACAGAGGTTGTACTAGTTTATATTCCCATCAACAGCATAGAAATGTTCCCTTTTGCTGCATCCTCTCCAGCATTATTTATTTTTATTTTATTTTTTTGAGTTGGAGTCTCACTCTGTTGCCCAGACTGGAGTGCAGTGGCATGCTCCCGGCCACCGCAGCCTTGACCTGCTGGGCTCCGGCGATCCTTCTGCCTCAGCCTTCCAAGTAGCTGGAACTGCAGGCACACACTACCATGCCCGGCTAATTTTTTTGATTTATTGTAGAGATGAGGTCTCGCCAAGTTGCCCAGGCAGGTCTCGAATCTGCGGGCTCGGACAATCCACTTGCCTCAGCCTCCCAAAGCGCGGAATTACAGGCTGAGCTACCGAGCCCAGCTATTTTTTGAGTTATTGATGATGAACATTCTGACTGGAGTTAAGTGATATCTCAGTGTCGTTTTTATTTGCATTTCTTTGATGACTAGTGAGGCTGAGCATTTTTTCATGTATCTGTTGGCTGCTTGTATGTCTTCTTTTGAGAACTGTCTATTCATATCTTTTGCTCATTTTATTTTTTATATATCAATATTTTTTATTTTGCTATTGTGGGGTACAGTTAAGGGTTAGGTACACAAATATGCTTCATTCAGTCACCCTTGTTGATAAGGGGTGTCTCCCCTACCCCAGACAGATATTGACTGTTAATCCTACCTCCCTTCCCCTCCCCTCTTTTGCTCACTTTGTAATGGGGCTGTTTGTTTTTTTCTTTTCGGCATGTTTGAGTTCCTTGTAGATGTCAGGCCTTTGTCAGATAGAGTTGGCAAACATTTTTTCCCAGTCTGTGGGCTGTCTTCCTGCTCTCTTGATGGTTTCTTTGGCTTTGCAGAAGCTTGTCAGTTTGATGAGTTCCCATTTGTCTATCATATCTCTTATGGCATGGGCACTTGGGGTTTTGATCAGGAATTGGTTGCCATCAACATGGCATGTGCACTTGGGGTTTTGATCAGGAATTGGTTGCCATAAGGGTGACTCCTGCATTTTCTAAGGTGCTTACAGTTTGAGGTTTTACATTTAGGTCTTTGATTCATTTAGAGTTGATTTTTGTATATGGTGATAGGTAGGGGTCTTGTTTTAATCTTCTGCATGTGGTCAGCCAGTTTTCCCAGCACCATTTACTAGGTTCATTGTGGTTTTGATGGACATTTTTCTGATGGCTAATGATATTGAGCATCTTTTCATGTACTTATTTGTGTATCATCTTTAGATAAATGTTTATTTAATCCTTTACTTTTTTTATTATTGATCTGTCAGTGTTCTTTATATATTCTAGATACAAGTTCCTTATTAGACAATTTGTGAAAATTTTCTCTCATTCTTGGAATGCCTTCTTGATGGTGTCCTTTGTATTTACTGATTTTAATTTACTTATGCCTTGCTCAAAAAAAGCATAAGTGGTAAGTGACTTATGAAGATATACAAAATAAAGGATGATGAAATAAATAGAAGGAAATATGAAAGGAAAAACAATGGTAATAGGTAAAATATTGGGCCAGGCCTAGAGACTATAATAAAATAGAATCCTAGAAGCTTGCCATGGGTAGGTTATAAATTTAGCTTTCAGTTTTCTAATGGTCAATGTGAAGCACAAAATTTGATCAGTTAGATAAAATCATAGTGTCTGTAAGAAAATAAACCCATTGCTCAAAGGAAGCATAACTATTACTGACTTATTATTACTGGATTATTACCAAGATTACAATGAAATTTCTCCAAAGACTTCATAAAGAAGAAAATGTAATTAACAGTGTCCTCAACATTTTTTCAAGGGAAATGTTAAGGAGTTTCAGAGGGATCTTTCTTTCCTTCCTTCCTCCCTCCCCTCTCTCCCCTTCCACCCTTCCTTCCTTCTGAGTCACAGTCTTACTCTGTTGCCCAGGCTAAAGTGCCGTAGCAAGATTATGGCTTACCACAGCCATGACCTCCTGGGTTCAGGTGATCCTTCTGCCTCTGCCTCCTGAATAGCGGCAACTACAGGTGTGAGCCACCATACCTGGTTAATTTTTTGACTTTTGTAAAGACAAGATCTCGCTATATTGCCGAGGCTGGTCTTGAACTCCTGGGCTCAAGCAATCCTCCCGCCTCAGTCTCCCAAAGTGCTGGAATTATAGGAGTGAGCCACGGCACCCAGTGAAAGGAGTATTTCTTACTGCTATCACTTTAGTACAGATGCCAGGCATCATAAAACAAAGAACCACTCAGCGAAAGCCACTCTACAGGGGGCAAATACCATTTAGCCTAGATATATTGACATGTTTTGCTCTTCTGGGTTAACCCATTTTAGAGCATCTAGAGAAGCAAATAAACTGCACACCCTCCAGGCAATCCTAAATAGTAGTTCAGCTAAGCCTCTGGAAGATATTGGGAGGCACTATGTTTGAAATGACAAAGGTAATTACAAGTGTAATCCATATTGCCAATTAAAAGTGAACCAAGTGTTCTAACTAGTCTTTTGAGCTGAGGGTAAAGTGACATTCTCTTGAAAAAAATTAAGGATCCTAACAAGATTATGTATTTGAATAGGAGGTCATACAACCTCTACTCAGAGGGGAATAAAAAAATACTTCTGGTCAGGGCCAAGATTCTCTTTTGAAAACTATTCTGGATGCAGTCACCACACAGATATAATACATGATCCTGGTTTACACTTCTGTTCCACAGTTGGGCAAAATGTTAGTATGAAAAAACTGAAGACATGTCTCAGTTTAAACAGACCCAATCCCCCCCCCAAAAAAACACCCAAAGAAGAACTAGATTTCAGCAATGCTACTTTGTATACTCTTTAAGATAAACTATTTCAGAAATTTAAGAAACATATGCCAAAGTAGAACTGATGTTTCTTACTATATGGGTTATTAGTTATCAGTTAAAAGTTGGGGGGGCATCATCTATCAAAAACAGTAACTTTGATTTAAAATACCTGAGCCGTAGTCCTTTCTATCAATATTTAGATCAGTGGTGGGCAAACTATGGTCTGGTAGCACCTATTTTTACCAATTAAGTTTTACCGAAGCACAGCCATGTTCATCTGTTTATATGTTGCCTATTGCTTTTGTTCTACAACAGCAAAGCTGAGTTGCTGTGATAGAAATCCTACGGTCCGCAAAGTCTAAAATATTTACTATCTGGTACTTTATAGAAGGTATTTACCAACCTCTACTTAGATAGCAATGAGAGATCCAGGGTGTGATAATAAAATTTAATAACCATTATGTAAAATAACTTTGCCTATCCTCTATAGTCACAGCATCTATATCTAGCACATCCAAAAAAGGTTTGATTATTAAAGAACAAGTTGAAAAGTACATATTCAGAATATATTACAGTTTTACCACAATACATGCTATTAACTGGTCTATCAAGAAACTATAATTATCAACTCTGATTCTTCCTTTTTTTTTAATCTTTTAATATTCTGTGATTAATCATATTTACCATAAGCTTTTTAAAATTAAAAATGTTTTATTCAACTCTGACTCTCAAAAAAGGATTTGAGAGTACAGTCTCTCTGTAAGTCTCAAGTGTCATGGATAGATAATGAGCTTATACAGCTAAATTTGGTACCGTATCCTAACTATGGAGTGAAAGGCCACTAAATTCTTTTTTTCCCTTCTATTTTATTTTATTATTATTATTTTTCTTTTAAAGATGTGGGGTATAATTTAGGGTTAGGTATAATATTGATTATGCAGGTACCCTTGCTGATGAGGTGTGCCCCTCCCTCCCCTAGCAGTTTCCCTCAACTGCCAATCCCACCCCTCTCCCCTGGCAGTTTCCCACTACTGCCAATCCCTTTCTTATCGTATTATGATAATTGCTCAAGGTCCACTTATGAGTGAGAACATATGGTACTCCATTCTTTGTTTCTGTGATAGATCACTTAGAATGATCGACTCTAAATCCATTGAAGTTGCTGCAAAGTCCATATGTTTGTCCTTCTTTATGGCTGCATAATATTCCATTGTGTATAAGTACCACATTTTTTTTATCCAATCCAGCTTTGATGGGCAGCATGATTGGTTCCAGGTTTTTGCTATTGTGTATAGAGCAGCAACAAACATATATGAGCAGTTATCCTTTTTGTAGAATGATTTGAGTTCTTCCAGGTATATTCCCAATAGGGGAATTGATGGGTCATACGGAAGGTCAATTTTAGAACACTTTATTTTGGTTTCTTTTGTTTTTGTTTTTGAGTTGGAGTCTCACTCTGTCACCCAGGCTGGAGTGCAGTGGCC